GTGGTGCTAATCTGACTTGACATTTGGCTCTTGATGACATAAATCTCATATGAGAGCTTTATAAGGTGAAGAACGGGTTTGGAGGGTTCAGATTCTTCATTTAGGAAATGTACAGAAGCTGCAGGGAGTTCTTAACCTTCTTAACAAATATGGAAAAAAAAAAAACAGGAAAAGTGTTACACAAAAATTACGATAGCAGAAAGAGTCACACAAGAAAGTTCTTCCTGGTGAGAGAAGAGAAGGGAAGATTACACAGCATTTTCGACTGAATTACTTCTTCACCGTTGACATAAGTATTTTTGTTCTCCTTTTTGCACTGCGTGGAGCCAATGAGCCCCTTTATTCATGTGAAATGTGATAGAGGGGTGTCATCCAGCCTGAGATGACACACATTGTCATGGACGAACTCTGAATGCTACTGGCTTCTTATCAAAACCATGAAATGACTTTGATTTTGATCTAAACCCAATGTGGAGAGAGGCTTTGAAAATAACAAAAAGCCTGCAAGCACATCTCTTTAGTTAACCATCAGAGTGACAAGGAATGACAAAAGATTTTCTACACAGTGACTGTAGATCAACTGCCTTTTTCATTTTTCACATATTTCCAGTTTTTCTTGCAACGATGAGTTTGTAGCACCCCCCTAGAAGAGGAATTACCAAACATCAAAGGGAAAGCCCCATCAGCAAAATAATACAAATTGAGAATATTAAGTAAATATGCATATTTTGAACCAGTTTTGTTGGTTGGAGTTCATTTGCTCACACATAATGAACATTTCTGTTCATAAAATGGTCAGAAATAGAAGGAAAATAGATGGATTTCTGTCAAATAATGCAACACAGATTGAAGGACTGATTATGCTTCCCATCGTAAGTAGACTTTTCCCAACGGCCCGCTGTAAATCAGGAGAAACCCAAAGATGTGATACAATGATTAAATCAACCAATTGGTGAGATTAACTTTGCACATGAAATATCCAGCTCTTGCACTGTTACAAGAGTAGAAAGTAGCAGATTAGGCTTCCCCTACCTCCCCACCCAAAAAATAAAAAAAAAACAATCACTGTCGTCACTAAATCAGGAACACGACAGACCCTGACACACAGTTTGAGGAAATCCGGCTGGCTGTGGCGCTTTGTATGATTTAATCCCTGCTGCAATGACATAACTCAGAATTAAATCGTGAAATATAAACGGACAGCTTGCAGCTACCATAAGTAAACAGAATGAAAGCTTATTAGCTTTGCAGCAGATTACTCAGTAAAGACAAAGGGAAGATAATCTCCTCAAAAACCCCTTCTTAGAAAGGCAACAACTATTCATGGTAAAAGTATTGAGATGGTGAAAGCCCACAGATATGGGAGCTGTGTGCGATGACAAATTAAAGCTGGCTGAGAACACAAACGTGTTTGCTTGGAAGGCACATGCGGTTGTGTGGCTTACGCAAGCTCTGCTCATACGAGGTGAAAGGAGGATACAACATCTTCTACCTGTTTTTATTAACCACCAAGTGGTTTCTGAGCATCTTGTGTTTCTGTCACATTTTTACTCACTGTCGGTTCATTTTT